TATGCACCATTACGTTTAGACTTCAAATCAGTTGTGGTATCAGTCTCACATCTAAGATTCAGTAGTCAGTGGTCTGTCCATCATGAAGTAACATCGCTGTGGATCGTTCCCTGTAATGAATGGCTTCATTATTCACCAAAGCTCTCTTGCAAGGAGCAGAGTTGTCAATTAACATATTATGTGCAGTGCTCATTTAGATGAGTACAGTCAGTATACAATCCTGGACCACATCTGATGGAGGGCAATCAACGAAATCTCGGCATCCTCTTCATGATCTCGTGCAGCGTTGCTTGTATAATAACAACCGCTGTTTGCAGACGAGATGAGGAATGTTGCAACTGTTTAGATGCACTACTTATTACTTAATAATTTGTGTGTTAATTTGTAGCCTGGGCACGTGAGTTATGTTCTTCAGAGTTTTCGACGTCCATAAATAAGGAACTTTGGCTATAGGTTAGAAAGTTAGGCAATCACAGAGCTAAAGAAATCAAGCAAATGAGTTATACGTAGTTGGGAGCAGTGGGTAAAGGTTACCTTTGCCTCAGATCTTTACTTGACTGTCATTTGCCATCCTGAATTTGAGTTCAGATTGGTATTAGCATGAAGTTTCCCGAAAAAACTCAAATGAACCGACAAAACTCAATTCAATTAAGGGTTGTTGCGGAAGCAAACCATTTAGTTTTAAATTACTGCAGATTATCATGAGGTCACGGGAAAGTAATTGAAAATTCCCAGTGATGAAGATAGCATAATGTTTCAGAAAATATATTATCTCCTCGTAGAGTTTCATATTATAGTAATTTAAACCAAACTAATCATGTAAAATTACGAATTAATAACTCGATGAAAGTTTGACAGCATTGAAAAAGACAGAAGGCATCTCCTTCGAGCGAGTAAATAACATAAATCGTTATAAGCTTATTATCCGTGATCCGAGGTTTATTATACAACTGTAATGAGTTAATTTATTTTGAATGCAGGAGAAGAAGAACATTCTGAACTTTTTCTTACATTCGGCTCCTGATTTTAGTTATTTTGAATGAAGATCACATGAAAATTCTTTCAATTTTTCGAGCAAATTTTCTAGACACGCTATTTTAAAGCCAACCAGCAGCAATACTTGTTTTGCCACTATTCCAAGCGAACCTTTGCTTCAAGTCAACAGTAAGCGGAGTCTGGCAAAATACTGAAGAAACTACGCGTGCTAAGTACCTTAAAGGTTGGGAGATCGAGCTCGTATGTACTCCGTGTAATGCTGCAGCAGCACAGCCTCTGTGATGCGACAGTTTTTTACTGGCGATGGTATCAGACCGGAGCCTTGCTGAACACCCGCGCTCCGGCACCACTGGCTGGACCGGCGCCAGCTACACCATGAGGCGGTGGTTGCTGCAATCCGGCACAAGCGGTGCGTGAGGAGCGGTTTTATAGGGCCGGCACAAGAGGTGCGTGAGGAGCGGCTTGATAGGGCCGGCACAAGCGGTGCGTGAGGAGCAGCTTGATGGGGCCGGCACAAGCGGTGCGTGAGGAGCAGCTTGATAGGGCCGGTACAAGCGGTGCGTGAGGAGCAGCTTGATAGGGCCGGTACAAGCGGTGCGTGAGGAGCAGCTTGATAGGGCCGGTACAATTAAGCGGTGCGTGAGGAGCAGCTTGATAGGGCCGGTACAATTAAGCGGTGCGTGAAGAGCTTTCTTGATGGGGCTGGCACAAGCAATGCGTGAAGAACTGATACGACTGCCGGCCATGAGGTAAGGCCGGTAAAGCCGTGTCAAAAATCGAGGCTATAGAATTCAATTTGCATTCGTCCTAGCATTTTGCTACGAGTTACAAAGCTGAAGGTCCCCGCTAAGGAATAGTGGGGTAAGTGACATTACCTTATCCTACTTATTACATTTAATACACACGCAGAGCGAGGTATGTATGTGTTGTACGAAAAATTTTCCTTGGATGAAGAAAGATTAGACTTCATCAAAGAATTTGATTGAAGTAAGAAGTTGCAACAAATAGGTCATGGAGTTTTAAGTACATCGTGCAGGTAAAGGAAAAATACCCTGCGCAACTTGAGGGCCTGCAGGAGAGTAAATGATATCAATTCATCGTTTTCAGTTAAAGGAATTGAGAATACAACATGGCAGTTATGGCGAAAATGATTACCAGACATTCCATTCATATAATCTATTACTAAACCAACCAGTCGTTAGGATAGACCTGGAGATAATGATTATGAATCTAATGTAAAAGCAACGTAAACTTCCTGAGCGGTGTTGCCAGGTAAAAGGAAAGGTGTAATTTATCAAAGTAATAACACTCGTAGTTTTGATACAATACAGACACGACAGACCAAACCAGGTAATTACAGCCAGAATTTATGGTTGTGCTCGGGTCACTTGTTCAGCATCGTTGAATTCCCCTTGAAGGAAGAAGCGTCGTGTGCTGTCGGTGAGACCAGCGAGACCTGACAAGCTCAGGCACATGATGGTGCTGCTGTTGTGACAGTACTGTTACCAGGCTACTGCTACTCAGGCACATGATGGTGCTGCTGTTGTGACAGTACTGTTACCAGGCTACTGCTGCTCAGGCACATGATGGTGCTGCTGTTGTGACAGTACTGTTACCAGGCTACTGCTGCTCAGGCACATGTTGGTGCTGCTGTTGTGACAGTACTGTTACCAGGCTACTCCTGCTCAGGCACATGTTGGTGCTGCTGTTGTGACAGTACTGTTACCAGGCTACTGATGCTCAGGCACATGTTGGTGCTGCTGTTGTGACAGTACTGTTACCAGGCTACTGCTACTGCCGCTGTAGCTTGAGCTTCTTTAACTATGGTGGACTAACTGATAAGGCTTATACTCGTGCAACTGCTGCATCTGATATTATTCACTAATACTGAGGTCGTTAAATATACATAGACTGCTACGTGCACGCTAGTACATGTAGCGATTTTTTTGTGTATATGTACTGTACATGTACTGTAGCCCCTGAATGAGAATCTCAGTCAGGATATGGCAATGTGTACTGGGCCGATAAATTTAGATCGAAATCTTGTTATCAGCCTTTAAAGATTGTAGGTTGGGTCGCTCGTCTCGCATATTTATTGCAGCCATTACGCCGTCTGAGCGTTGCATCTAGGAGCAACGACTTTATAGAATTTCTACAAAATGTAATCTCACAATTATCATGCACAGTAAATGAAATAAAATGACACTTACCGGAGAAATTCCTAATGATAAGACTCTGAAAAACAATAAACACGTTTCTTTTTTTCATTTTGATCCTCTCAACCTAAAAAAATCAATCCTCTCAACCAACGCTACATTAATTTGTTCACTTGCTGTACTGAGCATCATATTGGGAAAAGTTTAAGCCTGCTATAGTTTTAGTCGTTGCGTAAGCCGCTGAGATCTTCAGCGCATACAAACTAACTTCAAATTTATGCGGAGCACGAGTGCTTGCACGCTTGACCTACTGCAGCACAGTGCATTGCACGAGCCAGTCACTGGATCTAACTGCACGCACCTACTGCAACACAGTGCATTGCCCGAGATAGTCACTGGGTCTAACGGCACGCATGCCCACAAATGCAATAAAACAGGTTATTTTTACGACTTTTGTTGGTACGTCGCCGCTTTCGGTATTTATTCATTCATTACAAGTTGATCTAATCAAACAGAATCTGTCTTGCAAATCGTATTTCCGCGCTCCAAATAAATTATAGGCAATTAACACAATCAAATTATGATTATAAACACAGCTGCCAGTGCCTGGGTGCAGCTGTAACACGCAACGGCGCTTTGACGTTGCGATTACCTTTTGCCTTAGCTAGCAACTGACCACGACTCGTATGGAATAATTAGGAAATTATGTTATGAATTTCAGCGTGGATTGATTTGGTGATTTATCCTAAAGTTATAATTTTCACTGATATAATAAAATTGAGCTATGGTTGGCCTTGTGTTTTCTACCATATTACAGCAGCGACCTGCGGGTTTGAAACCGCAAGCAGAGATGAAAGTTCTGTTTGTAACCGGCGAAGTTATCTGAAAATTAAAAATTAGCGATATGCCAATATTGCCCAATAAATGTAGACAAAACCATACTATTGTAATTATTATTTTTAATAATATACTTTAAGTCAGCATTTTTAACCAATCCATTGGTCACCAAAGCCTAAAATTAGGCGTACGTATTTCTGCACACTTTGTAGCGTTGACCAAATTTAAGGTTATAGGTTTCTATGCACATTTACTTATTTGATCTCAGAGACGAATTAAACCTTAATGTGGCCTCCTAATTAGTTGGGTGTGTTGAACTTAGAGATACAATTTGGTCCTGATGCAGTGAGGTTGCTGCTTGCGTTGAAAACAAGCCCTAACACGCAAGCGTAATTCGCTAATAATAAGGTCTTTACATTCTCATTAGGATATAACGATCTGTGGGCCCAAAAGTCTTAATACAAATAGATTCAGATATTGTATCTCTTTGAGATGCTAAGAGGTAAGAAATTATTTAGTATTCTAGGCTACAGAGATTAAACCATTTTATTTAAAACGGGGAATAATCTCTCTATAAGGAATTATAGAAGTAATGTCAAAAAGTCGGAATTTTGTTTTTATTCTCATAATCAAAGTTCTTAATAATATTAATAATAATAACGATGATGATAATAAATAATAATAATAATGATAATAATAATAACAAAAAACATAACAGCCGCATAATATTGTCTTTATTACCAGCGCGATGAGTGCCTACGTATGATGGCACAGCTTAATCCTAAATTTACGGTGAGCGAGAAATTTATAGGAGATTTGTTTTGTATTTTGCATTTCACCTAACCGAACTCTTCGTGTGTGCGGTCCGAGTTTAGGGAGTAACATGCGTATTTGCTGCAAATAAATCAAGAGAAAATTTTGTTTAAGTACTAATTTCTAAACTTCCCTCTTCTGATCATTTTAATTCTAATGATTTAACTTGTTCCTGCGCAGGCGATGCTGCGGACGCTGGTGCTGGTGGCGGCGTGTGTGGCGGTGGCTCGAGGCTCGCCACAGCCGCTGCCGCCGCCGCTGTGCCGCCTGCCACGGTCGCCACTCGGCGGCCACGTGTCGCTGGGCCGTGGCGGCGCCGTGGCTACCTTCACGTGCCGCAGTGGCTACGAGCTCACTGGCCGCCGTGTGGCGGTCTGTATTGGCGGACGATGGTCATCTCCGCCACCTGTGTGTTCATTACTCACCTCGGCAGGTGCGTGCACTCATTACTCACCTCGGCAGGTGCGTACACTCATTACTCACCTCAGCAGGTGCGTGCACTCATTACTCACCTCGGCAGGTGCGTGCACTCATTACTCACCTCGGCAGGTGCGTGGACTCATTACTCACCTCGGCAGGTGCGTGCACTCATTACTCACCTCGGCAGGTGCGTGCACTCATTACTCACGCTGAAGATCCTTGTTTTTTGCCCCATCGCTAGACTTACCCTGAGATGAGTCATCCAAACATTCTCTGGCTGTCATCCTGTGATCCTTGCCTGCTCATTCCTATCGTAGACAAGATGTAAGCTATCGCATCCACAAGCTGGTCGTAAGTTTTGCGACGTCAGGATGGAACGAATAAAACAGATTGCGATACGCCTAGGAATTCACAATGGTGATATACTGAAGGGCTCACTCACTGCGGGATTTATTATAGAGTTTCACTTGGTTATTCTTATTTTCATGCCAATAATAATTTTGTGAATCAGTTGTATAATATACAAATATTGTACGTAATTTATTCGCTGGCGCAAGTTTTTGGTTGTTGATTGAACATCAAAGTGCAGCGCTTGACACCGTGGTGAGCGTCAGAGTTTGAATCACATTGAAGCGATAAATAGCACATCAATAGCCGCTTATTAGTAGCAGCTAATCAATAACAGATCCTCAGTAGCAAATTGTCGTTGGCAGGATGAACATTAAGTGGCCGGATGGTGTGACGACGAATGCGGAATGCTAATCGCAACGAATGTGGAATTCATCCTCATACAATTTTGGAACGCGCACTCTCTGTTTAAAGTTTGACTATGGAGCGTTAACTGATATAATTAATGAAGTCAGACGGACGGATCACTATAATGCTAATATTGATTTGGCAGCTTATAAGGGCAGAGGCTAATTCAGGTACAATATGTGTTGGTAGTGAGCGGAGGCCGTCAGAGAGAGAGAGAGAGAGCGCCGCTCCCTACCTCGAACGATCCCTCGCATATGTCACTGTAGAGGAGCTGTATTGATGCATGCGATCCCTGCGAAGATATGACAGCGGTAGACCGCTCTGCACAACCCGACTATTGATTATAATTGATCTCCAGACGAGTATTGCACTGTCCGCCTTCTAAATCAGGCGGAACAAAGACCAGCAAAACTCCCGTGGACCCAATGCATAAACAGCGTCGTAATTTGCGACTTTCAGTATCAGATAAGCTGCCGATTGCATACATTCGAGCTTTGTAGTCCACTGTGATCACCACGTCCAGCACAATTAATTGAGCAGTGTCTCCTTTCTTGGGAAGGAGACTCTATTGTTGAATAACTTACCATGACTCGTTTTCAATTAGCTATACGACCCAGACGATCAGTACTTTTTTGAACGAAGATTATTCGTTCAAACTTCAATTAGCTTTGGCCATTTGATGGTAAGCACAGATCTAGCCTTGCAGACGTAGGAGATCGTATTTTGTTTCTGCACGTGAGTCGAGTGCATTGCTGGGCGTAGTTTCGGAGAACTGACAGGAAGTAGCTTTAAATTATAAAAACATTACCAGAGATACATAGAATTGCAGCGATGGTTAGCGCAGCCATCACAAATTTGTTCCCCTGCACTAATAGGACTGCATTTCAGTAACGACTGAGCGTGGCGAGGCCTGATGAGAATTTTTAAGACCGTATACCCGTGGGACGAGACTGGTGCTTAGCAGCCCCCGCCTGCAAGCACCACATTTGTATACAAATTGAAGTTCACTTCAATAACATGTAAAAACTATGAGACGTGTGAGCTCGAAATCAAGTTTCCCTGAGACTAAACTCGGATCAAACCAATATTGTTAACGATATTTATGGTCGCTTATATGCGGCAGAAAATAATTTCTGACCTTTAAATTACTGATCAGGGCTGAGGATAATGAAGTCTCAACTTGACTTAGTCCTAAATGAAGGCAAGGATATATATCAGTCTATTCATTGAGGTCTATAATGAGAAGTGGTATTCTGTCGAAAATTTCCCTTCTATTTACGAAGGCCGTTAATATAATGACGGAAAGTGAACGAGTAGTTTAGCGATCATATATCTGCCATCTTTGTAGTAATTCAGTTCGTTATTTTTAAAACTTATTTGTCGAAGTTGCTGTTTTCAGATTATCTTCGATCAGGCAACATTTCTAATGTAAAGCAACATTTTATAACTAAGACAATGTTTAAAGATAGTAATGCTGTGAAGGTGTTTATAGGTGTTTAAACACCTTCACACCTTTTCACACTACTTTTAAACATGTTTAAAGGTGGTAATGCTGTGAAGTCTACACTAAAGGTGGTAACTCCAGGCAGACTTGCTGCCGGTCTCAATGAATATGTATAATATATCTTCGTAACTAATGAACGCCGCTCAATAAAAGGTTTTACATGCAGTTCTTAGAACCTTAAGGTTATGTTCCTCTCGTGATCATTTTTTTCGATATAGCCTTCGTTTCCAAGTTATGCGGTAAGTTTCGTTCAAATCCGTACTACAGCATAGAAGAAGTATCAGGCTCAGGACTAATTTACAACACTTCTCTTTAACTTCACTTCTTGTTGTTTGTTTGTCTGCTACAAATATTATAATCGATATTTAACACACTTCTATCTCTCCAATCGATCTGAAATTTTGCACACTAGTGTAAAGTTGGAGACAATGCATGAATCAATTGAAAGAATGAATAATTTTGAAGATTTAGAAAATTACATTTTTAATATTAAAAAAATTGAAGAAATAATCGTGACTGCTACATATCTTATAATCGATATTTAACTCTGATCTGAACCTGTCCAATCGAACTGAAATTTTGCACACTTGCGTAAAGTCGAAGACAATGCATGAATCAATTGACGTAATAAATAATTTTGAAAAATGTAAATTTATTTTAAATTTTAAAAATAAAATTCAAAAATTTTTTTTATATATTTGATAACAAAATTAGAGAGTCATTGTACATGTGTAACATCGGAGATACTGGATTCTTTGGAAGTGTTGTCCTTAGAAGGTAATTTTTAAACGCATATTATTTTTCACCGCATGACCGTATTACTAGGAGACGAAATTGCTCTCTCGGAGAATACACGGGTGCTCTACACACGCACGCTTCGTTCGTGGATTATTATGAGTGCAACAATTTTTCATTTCATTATGAATAAAACAATTTAAATAGAACATCGGTCAACTTACATTCATCCTCATAGTTCATACTAAATTTTACAAACAAGTTACTCTTTGTGAACTTCTAGCTTTCTAAATCCATTATCATAAAATACGTTAGAGTCCACGCGAGAAATACTTAAGCGGTGCGGAACACGTTTCAGTTTTAAGAATCACTAAAATTGCATGCCATTATTTTTATTTTTATATTAGGAAATCTGAATGCGCGCTTTTTGATTGCGCGTGCGTTGGCAAGTTTCTCGGGCTTGGATTGCGCGTGTGTTGGCAAGCTTTGCAGTCTTGGATTGCGCGTGCGTTGGCAAGCTTTGCGGTCTTGGATTGCGTGTGCGTTGGCAAGCTTTGCGGGCTTGGATTGCGCGTGCGTTGGCAAGCTTTGCGCTCTTGGATTGCGCGTGCGTTGGCAAGCTTTGCGCTCTTGGATTGCGCGTGCGTTGGCAAGCTTTGCGCTCTTGGATTGCGCGTGCGTTGGCCGGCTATGCCCGACGGTCGTTAGAAGGTCGCCGGGTAACCGGTTGTCGGTCACGCCTTGCGTGCTCTGATATGGCAGCTCTCAAGTGACAGCTGAGAGTCTCCAGCTAATCTGGAGCGCTGATGCGCGGGATAACCTCTAAACTGGGCAGTCTGGACCTGTCCTTACTTGGTCACTGGCGCCGGGGCCTCTTCTACTCTTAAAGATACTTCAAACTTTTTCTGAAATGTTGCAGCCACACACAGTCCAGTCAAGAGTGGGTCTGACGTGGGACAATGTTTGAACACAAGTCATTTCGTTTGCCTCTCGAAGTTTAAGTGAATTTTGTGCGTGCCAATGTGCGCATCCAGATCACTGAAGTGCGTTGCATTCGGAATAGCCGTAGCGGAAAGCCGTTACATATAAGGCAGTCATTATCTTGCTATATAGTCAACGTAGCGCTGTATTCTCCTTAGAATCCTTTACATTTAACGTCATACGTTCTCTGATACATTTCAGCGATCGTGGTCAAAAAGAATTAATCAACCGCAATTTTTTATTAAAAGTCTTTCTTGAGTACGATAAAATAAAAAATATGTACGAAAATTCTTACACTGGGAATATGAATACCGAAAGTAACCATGAATATCATGGGGATACCTTGGTATCTTTCGTATGTCTGATTTACAGGCTTCATTTTCCGAGTCTATTTCCTGTAGCTTTTCTTAAATTATCTTCATCAAATTATCTAATATCAAACCAAATTCATTGAAATTTGGTTTGATAAGTCATAAAATTCAGCATATATTCTCACTAAATCGCAAAGCTTTGTTATAACTAAATTTAAAATGGGTTGTTCTGCAGCGCTACGAACTAAAACGTTAGTGTAAACTTCTGCTCAATTATGTACGAGAGAAATGAATAATTAATAAATCCTCTTGGGATAGTTATTTCTGAAACACTGAGATACTAATCTCATTCACCATAAGATAATCGAAGCATTTCAATGAAATTTTTATCATTTATGGTTTAATCGATGCAATTCGTAGCAAATAAATGGCATTAAAAAAATTTTATACTAAAATTTGTCGTCCTAATTACGATTCAAAAAAAGGAACTCGGTAACTTGCCATTTATTTAGTGAGTGATTCAACCCGGCGAAAACTCTAAAATTCATAAAGAGAGACAAAGGTTATTTTGGCGCTGCTGCCGCGAAATAAGTATTCAAAGTGAGCGCTGGAGTCAATATAAAGCGTGCACACTCGCGTCTTGAGGTCACTTGCTTGCCGCTCACTTGAATCCGGTAAAAAGCGCTGTCGTAACGTGCACAAAATTGACATGAAATTGCACTATTT